ACTGCTGCCTCTGATGAAGGCAGCACTGCAGTGGGGACAGGCAGCATTGTGCAGCAAGTGCTGGGAGAAACCAGCTTTTAAGCTGGCTCCCCCTAACATCGACTCCTGCTTCCCCCCTTGCTGCCTCTGATACAGAAGCAGCAAGTGGGGGAGAGAGGGAATGCGAGTAGTTGACTAGATTAATCCACAATCGAGTAGTCGACTAGATTAACCCACAATCCTAGGCTTATTGGTTAATCGACTAGTCCAGTGTTTCTTAACCAGTAGTACGAGTACCCTTAGGGGTACTCGAGAGAAGTGTGTGTGTGGGGGGGGGGGGAGACATCAACACAACTGAAATTTGGAGAAAACTGAATTTTTCGTTTAAGTTTTACAGCTTTTTATAATTTTTGTACTTTTTACACCTAAACATTTCATTGCACGCCCAGCTACAATTAAGTTATTTAAACAAATGTGTTGCAGTGGTAGAAAAAAATGTGTGTGTGTCTGAAAACGATAGGTACTGGGGATATTTATACCTTTTTTTTTTTTAAGGGTACTTTATAAAAAAAGGTTGAGAAACACTGGACTAGTTGACTACTCGTTCACTTCCCTATCCGGCATTAGTCTTCTTGAATTCTGGCTTTTATTTCCACTTAATCTCGTCCTTTCACTGCCAAAGTAAGAGCCAAACTGAACAGCTGTACTTCTTGCATTCCTGACCTAAGATCAGTTAAATGAAGCCAAGGACATATTTCCTGTAGTGGACTTTTTAAGGATTCAGCATTTAAATCTTTGGCAGCCTCTGTAAGAAAATCAAAAGCAGTGAGTGAGGGTAATTAACCATTGGAACAGTTCACCAGGGTTATAGTGGATTCTCCATCACTGACAATTTTTAAATCAAGATTGTATATTTTTCTAACAAATCTGCCTTAGGAATTATTTTGGGCAAATTCTCTAGCCTGTGTTTTACAGGAAATCAGATTAGATGATCAAATGGTCCAATCTGGTCTTGGAATGAATTAACCTATGTTGTTGGGTACCTTTCCTGCAGACAGGAAGGGGAAAGGTTTTCCTTTGGGGCCAGCACACACACTGTAACTATTGATGATATTTTGTGTACCTATCAATTTTTGGAGTGCTCCACAGACACAAATGAACACTCCGTCACTCCTCCATAACACTTACAATTAGGGATGTTAAAAATGGTTAATTAGGTAACCGTGTGCCTGTTAAAAATCTTACATGGTTACAAGCTGCGAACTCTGCAATATAAAGCTTATACTGCAGAGCCCACAGCACAGCTGGCTTCCTGGGAGCTGAGCTGGCAGCCATTGCATTCTGGGAGCCGGCTCCCAGCAGGCCCCATTTCCAGGGAACTGGCTTACCTGCAGGCTTTGCAGTATGGGGCGACAGCCAGTTCCTCAGGATCTGTTGCACACTGGAAGATGGATTTTTAAGCTGGGTTCCAGTGTACACCAGCTCCCGCCTGCCAGCTCTGCTTCTGGGGAGCTGACTGCTGCCCTGCACTGCTGCTTTTATATCAGAGGCAGCAGTGTGTGCTTGCTGGGAGCTGGCTTTTAAGCTGGCTGCTGCCCCATGCTGTGGAATTTGATACACAGCCAACAGCGCAGGATGGCAGCCAGCTCCCTGGGAGCAGGGCCAGGAGCTGGCATGTTACATTAGCCGACAAGCTCATGCTTATCGGTTAACCGTTTAAACAGATACACTATTATATCCCTACTTACAATGTAAATTCAAACCTTGTGCAGAAATGAGAGTCCAGTTAAATGAACTTAAAAAACCCCCAACCCATTCTAGACATATGGTTTTCCTCTGGCAAGTGATTGATGGAGTCATTAAATAACCCCCCCCCCCCCACTTGCTGTTACAGTTCCATTTTACAGAAAGGGGTGACTGAGGTAGGGAGGTTAGGTCACTTGCCTGAGGCCACAAACTAGGGCTAGAATCAGAGGTTCCTGGTTCCCAATCATGCATGTGCACTGATAGACCATATCTCTGTCAAATTATTTATTAAAGGGTGAATGAGAGAAGGGTCAGATTTGCTAAGAATGTTCTTAGGAGAAGACAGGGCCTGACCCACCATACACAGTGGGGATTCCCTAGCCTCCCATGCATCTCTTACAACCCTATGAGGGGCATTTGTTAAGAACAAAAAGTGGCTCCTGACAGCTGCTCAAAACCCTGGCAAATTTCTCTGGTTCCTGCTTTTCCAACAAATCTGACTTGTGTGTCTGCATTCCTGAAATTCTGCTCTGTATCCTGGATTCTCCTGGCTAGTCCCTCTTTTGTCTCATCTCTGAATCACACTAAAGCTATTCTGTTTATCCTTGTAGTGCACTTAGTAAAAGGGATATGGTAACAGACATTGACTATAACTAGTGCATGTTAAAGGAAGCCAGTGCTGGCCGTATTCAGACTATTAATGAGGACTGCTACAGAGTAACATCTCCCTAGATTTGCCTCGTTCAGTGCGAAGAATCTATAGAATCACTGAAGCATGCGAGCCCATTAACTTGTAAAAAAAAGTGGTGAGAATACTTCTTTGCCCATAATATTAATAGTGCTTTACCTGTGTATCTGCAGTCCATGGAGCTGAAAGTACTTTAAATGCATAAACAAATATAGTCAATTCTTCCCCCTTGCATTGAGGATGAGGAAGCTGAGGCAGAGCAGGTATAAGTAGCCTATCCAGCACTGGAACAAAAGGCCAACCTCCCCTGATATTAGTGTTGGCTGGCTGCTTCAGTGTTGCATGTTCAAGGGCTTCATTTTTACCAGTAGTGTCAAAATGTTCTGTCCAGCCTAGTCTAGCTACCATACCTGCTGCATCCATTGCCCAGACTTAATGCCATTAATGTGGTATTAAAGTCACATGTGCCTTTTTTCGTTTAACCTTTGGACCCAACTATACCAGGTAAGGCTTTGATGGGGTAACTCAGTTACAAAACAGGTTCCAGATCAAAGATGGTAGAGTGCTGCGTTTTAAGTGGTCAGCAGATATTATTGAAACATTATTTGCTCAACAAAATATGCTATGCACATGTACTGTACAGATAAACCCAATTACAGCTGAAATGTCCTGGAGTGACTCTACAGGATACTAACCAGGGCGGAACTAGGTGCTGTAGAAGGAATTTCTGATGAAAGAACGGAAATTGTTTTTGTCTGCTTTGATTATTTGTAATAAATTGACTCATGCTGCATGGTATGCAGAGAGGGGATGTGTACAAGCTTTCTGATCCTCTTTCTCACATAGTTTTGGTTGTGGCATACACTCACATAACTGGCTGGGTGCATGTCATTCAAAGCATGGTTTGTCTCTTTTAGGGATGGTCTAAAACAAATAACTCCCTACTGCAATGAATGATTCTTAAAGCACAAAGATTCTGATAGAATTCTTCTCCTTCAGAGCAGCCCACGTCTCAGTTCAGAAATAGGAATATGTGGTGACAAACTACCACAGGGAAATCTGGTTCCTTGCTTTAATGTATTTGGCTTACTTTCCTGTAACTCTGCTCATTCAAGGCTTGCAAGCACTTCAGCACCTTCTATGGAGCCTGCCTTAGCACCTGCTATGCTGCAACAGTGGATGTATTTCACTCTAAGGGGGCTAAGCTGTATGCAGCCGAGCTGGAAACAACTTAGCTGTTCTGGAGAAAGAGCTGAAGGGGAAGTGTAGGGTGGGCAAAAACAGATAGTAGCAGTGTTAGAAAAAGGAAAGGAAGCTGTAAAGCTTCCTATTAATAGGAGAATAGTTATGGAGTGGGGCCTATTACTCCCTAATTTTAGGAGGAATACGTGAATATTCTAAAGGCACTGGATTGTGCAGATATGAGGGGAATTTGGGGTCAGTTTGAGTTTAAAAACTAAATTGGCATCCAGTTTCAGACTGAGACGTTCTCTTCTTTCCAGGCTCATGCAGGGACATCCACCTCAGAACTCCCTGTGTTGGCAACCTTTTCCAGCCCCATCGCACTGGGCTTGACTGCCACTGGCAAGGCTGAGAAACCCAAGCAGTCAAACAACACTTCCGTCCAGCCTCACTCCTTAGAAGAGATTCTCCCTACAATCAGCACTCTGCAGGAGAAAAGCATGGTGAAGATGCAGACTGTTACCATTGTGCCCACCGGTGTCCCCACCAACAATAATGTTACCACAGTCCGGGCTATCCCTGCCACTTCATCAAGCACCCCAGTACCAGTGCCAGGTGAGAGAGTGCACCTTGCAGCACCTTCCAAAAACAGACTATCCCACTGAGCAACTGATCAGACATTAAAGCACTGTAAAGCCACTACCGTGGGACAGTAGCTGAATACAATTTCTCCAAGAGAGCATTGAAGGGGTCTCTTCCAACATGTTTGTCAGTTAGAACTTTTATCCCATCCTGGAGGTCCTGGCATGGGGGCTGGGATCCTGAGGGCTCCTGGCCCATGACAGACCTTGAACACGCCCCTGGGAATCCCTGGCAGACCCTAGGGCTATGAGATGGGATCCTGTTTTTAAAATTGCAGATCTCTGTGTCTACTGAATTTATTCTCCAAATGCAGCTCAGACATGATGTTTCCAGTACTGTAAAGGGAATAGAGATCTGACACGAGTTTCAGTGGCATGAAATAGAGATGTGAACGACTAGTCGACTATCCGATAAGCAAATACTTATCGGATAGTCAACACACTGATAGCTTTCCCCCTCCCCCTTGCTGCCTCTATCAGAAAGAGGCAACAAGGGTGGGGGGGAAGAAGAGGGGGTGCTTCAAAGTGGCAGCGCCACATGGAGCCCAGGGCCAGACCCCGGGCTCCATGCGACACTGCTGCTTTGAAACCCCAAGTGCCATCCCCAGCTGGCCCTAGGTTGCACACAGTGTTTCAAAGCAACAGCACAGCGTGGAGCCCAGGGTCAGCTGGGGACTCCCCTGTGGAGCCCAGGATCAGCTGGGGACTCCCCCGCTGACCCCAGGCTCCATGTGGCGCTGTCCTTTGAAACACCACAGGGAGCCCTAGGCCAGCAGGAGATAGCTTGAGTCCCCCACTGGCCCCTTGCTCCACGCAGCACTTTCACCTTTGAAGTGTAGCAACAGCTCTGAGGCCGTTGCTACACTTCAAAGGCAGAGGCGCCCTTATCGACTAATCAAATAGTCGATTCAAATTAATCTAAATTTAACCTCCCTAGCGTGAAACCTTGTTTCAGCAACTATCTGCTGTACACTGCTCTCCATCCAGCTAAGAGGAAATCTGTGAGGTGGTTACTCATAATGGGGTATGACTTTTTTTTCCCTTGAAATGTCAATGTATTGTTCAGCCATGCAGAAGCAGTACACTTGGTCATTAACCATGTCTTGCTGCAGTACAGTGCCATATTCCTATTCACACGTGCACCCAGAGTGCACAATGCCTCTACCAGGCAGCACTCAGCACTGCCCAAAGTGCACTGTGCAGGGCTCCGGAGGTGATTTTAAAGAACCTGGGGCTCCAATTGCTACTGCAGTAGCAGCTGGGGTTGAATCCCTGACCCCCCAAGACAGTTGCTTGCTTTGCCCCTGCCTCCATTGGCGGGCCTGTATAGGATGTATTTTACCCCTGAAAATTGACCGATCGTACAGTGGAAAGGAAAGACTTCGACACAATAGGCAAGAAAGCCAATTGACTATCTGAACTAACTAGTTTGCTAGTCTTTTTTTAAAAGCTCCCCTCCACTCAACCCCACACACATTCACTAGTTAAATTAAATGCCTTAAAAGTGACCTTCATAGGCAAATATTTGGCTAGTGTGTGTCTGCTCCTTTATGAAATATAAAGGAGACCTGAAATGTTATTTTCAAAAAAAGGATTGGAGGTTTTATCTACTTGTTTTTTTTTTCTGTTAGAAATCCAGTTCTCCTTTTCTCTTGGGACACTCTGTGTGTGATTGGAAGACTTATAGAATTATGATATTGCAAGAGGTTGAGTAACTGAAAGAAGAAGGAAGTTAGGTTTCTTTGGTTAACTATTTAACTAATAATCAGATGGGAGTTTAAATATTCAGTCTCCCTATCTTTTTAAAGTAGCTCCCAGTGTACATCTCTGAGATCCTAATAAGTTTCCAGAGAAGAACAGACTTCCTCTTTTTCTTATTTTTTTTCTCAACCCCTCTCCATCCCCAGGATTTAAAAAAATGAGAGCAGAAAATACTCTGAGAAAAACTATCACCTTTTTAAGTCTTTGTATATAAAGAAGCAGAAAAGTCCACAAATCCTGTTTTCCCCTACCTTTGTCAAGTCACCTGTAAGAACAAAATCAGTCATTTCTCTTGAGTCAGCTTTGGAAAAGAGTGCATAAGAAATGCAACTGATCTTTTTTTTTCTGATTGGGAAGATGAGAAGAAAAATCAAAGTAAATGGAATAACCTCATATTTAGGGTTAGAACCAGCGTTCCATACAAATTGTGCACTTATGTGGCCATTCAGGAGAAATTTCAGTGTCGTCCAGCTGATTAGCAGAGCAACCACAGCTAGGTTTTTGTTTCTGTTGGTGGTGTACATTTGCACGTGCCTCAGTGCACATAACAAAATTTATTCTGTACCTGGATGGGAAAAAATAGAATGAACATTGGTTAGAACAGCATGAAATTGTGGCATTTGGGCAGCTTGTTTTAGTAAATCTTTTTAGCTCCCAAAGAACTTTTATTTTTTCAGCTGAGAATACCTTGAATTCTTCATATATTTGTAAAGATCTGAAATTGCAGTTCAGTAAATAGCAGCTCTTGTTTCCCCCTTCCATTCAAGAGGAGTTGGGTTCTTTCCTGAAACTCTATCTGCTGAGCCCTTCTCATCCCTGCTGAATCATCTTGAATAGAGGCCTCTCTGTACCAGGCACCAGGGTTCCATTTCAGCTTTTCAGAAAACCAGCAGAAATTACAGTCGCCCCAAAGAGTGGGAGGTACCTGAATAATTCTAGGCTTCCCTCAAATCTGTGAAGCCCCGTTGACTTTTGCATTCAGTACTAGGCCGAAACCTGAAACAGCAATTGCAGTGAGTGATGTTTGCAAATACAGCCATTTTGCAGCTTGCTTTTATTCCACGAGCTTTGAAGCGAACACTCTTTTGATGTGTATATATTTTTTCCTGTTTCTTTTAATGCTGTAATTCTCCCTCCTTCTCAGTTATGAAGGAGCTGGTAGTTTCTGCAGGAAACAACGTCGAAGTGACCTTGCCAAAGAATGAAGTTCAGTTAAATGCATTTGTCCTTCCTGAACCTCCAATGGGTAAGACTTCATTGGGACCTCTTAAAGTGTGTGATGACAAAGAAACAAACAATACATAAATGCTTTGTTAAATAGGGAAAATCTTGAAAGTCTCTCCCATCTAAACATCACATTGCAGTATGAGCTGGCTCAGAAATGAGTAGCTGAATGCAGTAAATTCTGCTCAGACTTGTTTTTACTCAGCAAGAATGAGGATATTCTTCTTGCTCATAAGTGTGTGACAACCTGATTGGAAAACCATTGTTTTAAAAAACTGCAGTGCAGGCTAGGAAAACCTGGTTTCAGATTAATATTTTTCCCCTTCCAAGGACAACATGGTTGTCAACAGATAGCCATATTTTTGGCTATCACAATTTTCTCTTCTTGTAGCCATACAGATTTAGGCATAAGGATGAACAAATAGCTGAGAAAACAAGGAGTCCGATGGCACATTAGAGACTAATAGATTTATTAGAGCATGATCATTCATGGGTAAAACCCACTTCATAAGATGCATTGGAGTGGAAATTACAGAGGCAGGGAAATACATAGGCAGAGATATACCCCCAGAGGGTAAATGACTAACCCGGATTAAAAGTTTATATATAGGTGAAGGCATACAGTCTGACAGCCCAGGACAACAAAAACAGTCCAGACAAGTAAAATATCTTCACTGCCCATGGGGTCAACTGCTAATCCGGATTAAAAATTCATATATATATGAATTTTTAATCCGGATTAGCAGTTGACCCCATGGGCAGTGAAGATATTTTACTTGTCTGGACTGTTTTTGTTGTCCTGGGCTGTCAGACTGTATGCCTTCACCTATGTGAAATATTACAGAAAACTGTGGCAAGTAGTTGTTCATTGGAATGGAATTTTGCACAGAAGTGGAATCTTGCTTTCCTGAGAACTTTCTTCACTAAACTGAAGTTCTAAGGTCTCTGACAACAAAACTTTTACAGAAATCTATTATGACATTGCATTACAGTGTTTGCACCCAGATAAGAGACTTGCTCCTTGAACTCAGCTGTTCTTATTTACCTCACCTGAAATACAAACATCCTTTGACCTAATAATAATGCTTTGCACATAGAATATGTGTTTCAATGGAGAGTCTCAAAGTTCTTCATAAAGATAATGGAATTTTCCATTTTACAGGGAAGTTAGCTGAGGCACAGATGTGATTTGACCGCGTTCTCCCAGTGAGTCCCCTGTCCTAAACATTAGACCTTGCTGCCTCCTATAATAGCAAGGGGCAGAAATACAGACACTAGAAGTGTGTAGTCCCAAGTAAGATCAGGTTTAGGAGCATTTGTAATGTCATACTTTCCCATAAGAAGTGAGTGGTTCTTCAATGTCAGTTGATAACACGTGCTGTTAGGAATGTTATCAGCTTGTAGCAATTGACTTCTGATTTGGTGGCCAAAGCTGTGGCTTTTAGGGATTGCTACACTGAGGCAAGGTCTACACTAGACCCGAAATCTCGGCTTAAGCTACGCAACTCCATCTATGTATTTGGAGTTAGTTTACCTTAAACTGAGCTTGGCGGAGTCCCCACAGCGGAGGCTGATGGGAGCAAACACTCCCTGTTGGCTTCCCTTCCTCTCAGTTTGATTTAGCAAGTCTTTACCAGACTCCCTAAATCTAACACATGAAGATCGATCATGGCAGAAGTGATCTTCTGTTTAGTGTAGACAAGGCCTGAGAAGGGGGAAACTGAGAAACCAAAAGGGTAGTGAGTCTGTTCAGTTGTGTTTTGAACCTAAGAAGTGAAAATTATTCAGAGATTGCTTGTGATAAGCTTATTTATAGTTCTACCCACAATGACAACAGAGGACCTGGAAGCAGAAGTAGAGAGGGACTTGGTGTGACAAGTGTAATGCTAGTGAAATGGACAATTTTTTTGTTTATGATGTCAAGGGTGAAATTTTCAGACAGGTGTTCTGCAGGATTTGAGCGCAGTAATCCTCTCTTCTTTCCTTGCACTCTGCAGGTGTGATCATTTTAAATCTCCTTAACTCCTTAAAGCAGTGATGGGCAACCTACACTAGTGAGTGGGCCCTCCATGACAGTGGACTGCAGGATTGTCATAACCAAGATAGTCTCCCTGGACAGGGTAGTTTTGCTAATTGCGTTTGCGTACCTAGAATTTGTGGGGTGTGCCGACTGAACTGCAGCAGCACTTACTTTGGATGTAGTGGGACATGTCTTTGCTTTACGTGTATGTCACTTTAGTAATACTTGTAGGAAAAAATATGCAGACAGAAACCAGTGAAATCTGGCAACCCTGTGTGTGGGCAACGGTCTTGTGGGCCACACATAGGACACTGATGGGCCGCAGGTTGCCCACCACTGCCTTAATGAGGTATAAAAGCATTACTAGCTCCCAAAAAAAGTGGTGTTGCAGTATAGACCAGCACTTCCCCATTGTGCAGCAGCAGAGACTTAGCACCTGTTCTTCTCTCTTTTTTAAATGCTCCTTTAACTATGTGGTCTCTGAAATTCTCCTTCCTTTAGGAACCAGCTACACCTATGACTGGGGGCTGATTACTCATCCAAAAGACTACAGTGGAGAGATGGAAGGCAAACACACCCAGACCCTCAAGTTATCTAAGGTGAAGCTCTGCCTGCTTCTTGTCCTGCTGTGTATCATGCAGGGTGATTCCCTTTAACAGAGAAGACAGAGACCCTGTCAGCCACCAAGGACTTGCATGTTATTTCCGAATAAAGAGGAAATTGCATGACTGGCAGGCTGCCAGTGTTTGGCTGAAAGACTTGTAGCTAAACGTTTCATAAAGAAGAGCTGAATGTAGTGCAATAAAATCTGTGATAAAGAAGAGACAGATTGAAGAGCAGCATTAAAACCCTAAAATGGCAGCTAGTAATAAAATTCAAGAACAGGCCTTTCCCCATGAAGCTGGTCTGTAGTGAGATTATTTTGAAAACCCACTTCCCCATCTTGCCAGTATTTGGGGGTGCTGCACAGTTTTATTAATGTCATCAGCTCTTCTAGCTTCCTGACCTTTGCTGTATGGTGTTTTATAGGAGATTGAAAGGATCAGTCTTTTCCACAGAGATGTGGGAATTTTTAACAAGAAGATTTTTTTTAAACAGCTTGAGAATATAACACTTCTCACAGGAATCTCCCCAGTAAAAGAAGTATCACTTCTGCTCCAACACTGCGCTCAGAAAAAAACAGTGCTATAGCCATAACAGTATGCAGGGTCCCTCCTCTGCTCTCAACCCCACATATGCCATTCAGCATAGAGCCTTAGCATTCAGTCTTCTCTTCTCCAAACACATGCAATTCTAGACTTCTGGGGATTTAGAGAAGTGAAGGAAGCCTTGGCTGAGCCATAATATGGGCAAAATCCATTTGTCCGTGAAGGCCAAATGAAAGAGTTCCTCCTGTGTAAACTTTTTCTCTCCTCTGCTCTGTGATTTGGCCAGGATACCTGAACTGAGCTCTGTAACGCTTCTTTTGTTGGTCATCAACTGTTGCTAGAAAATCTATCCTAGTTGACAACCCTATCTCATCAGGGGCAATGGGAAACATCAGTCTTTTAATTTATGGTGGAGTTGTTGAGATGAAAAATCCATTAAATTGCCTTGGAGTAGAAACCCTCTGCCTTGCATGTATAGACCAAAACGTTGTTTCCTCTGGTCTGTGCTACTAACACTGTATCAGGATGCAATATGGGGATGGTTGGCTGACCTCTTAATTGCTCTTGACAGATTGTCAGTAACTTCTTTCATTTCCTTTCCAGCTCACCGTTGGTCTGTATGAATTCAAAGTGATAGTTGATGGGGAAAATGCACACGGGGAAGGTTACGTGAATGTGACAGTTAACCCAAGTAAGTTCAGTGGCTGGATTGTATCCCTATAAGTTTTTAATTTGGCAACTGTATTGTGGCATTTTGTTTGCTGGGCTTGGCTTTGGCTTAACATAATAAAGACAAAGAGAGAGAGAGAGAGAGTGTGCATGCGTGCACGTTAGACGTTGAGAGAGAGAAATTTATTTCTGAAATGAAAAGCTATCTCCTGTATACCTAGCTATGTTACACTGAGTGTCAATCTATTGAACAATAACATATGACAAAAGTCGTGGAGCACTGCTGCAGAAATATTTAGCATGCTAGTGCTCCTAGGAAAAGCACCACTCTAACAGACTAGTTGCACCAAGGGAAAAACCTAGGGCAGCAGGGATGGGGGATGAAACGCTGTGGGTTTTTTCCCTTATAGTAAGAAGTATTATCCCCATCTGCAGCCATCTTAAATCAAATCTCATTCCTGACGGCAGCATGCTTTACCAGGATTTGTTTTTGCAGTGGGTTTGTGTTGTGTACAACAAGTGTTTTCAGACCCTGGGTCGTGGCTCCCCTTTGTTTACCTGCACCTCTGTAGGCATGGGCAATCGCAGCTCCCATTGGCCAGAGATCACTGTTCCCACCTAATGGGAGCTGCGGGAAGCAGTGTCGCAGTCCACAACATTTCTGCAGCTCCCAGTGGCCAGGAACGGTGATCCTCAGCCAATAGGAGTATGATCGCTTGTACCTGTGGAGGTGCAGGTCAACAAAGTGTCTAGCGGCTAGCTAGCGGCTTTCCCTTACAAGCTACAACCCATAGTTTGAAAACCCCTAATGTATACAGTAAACTTCAAGATATCATCAGCTAAGGCTTCATTTCCAGATAAAGGTCTGCTTACAGAGGGAGAAAAAGTGGGAGGGATGTTAGATTGGGCTTTAGCAGGTCAGAGATTCAAACCTCCTGACTCATTGTTGTGATTATATTGAACATTCAGTGTCTCCCTTGTTTATACAAGAGAACCTTTTCTTGAGCTTCAAACGCCTTCTTTCCTTAAACTTTGTAAGATAAAGTAATATTCTTGCCTTCCCAACAATTTGCAAGTGGGGAGGTTTAGGCTTTTCAGTATTGTTAGATGTCCCCTTTGACCTGAGCAAATGTATAGCCCATTTGCAGGGCTCAACAATTAATGTAATCTACTCGCTCGTAGCGAGTAGATTATAACCGAACCACGCGACTGGCGAGTGGGGCTCATCGTGGTTTGGCGAGCCCTGCCCATTTGAATGTAAACAACAAACCTGTAGCTTGCCTAGCATAGTTGTTAAATTGCTCCTTTTTCGTAGTGGCTGAACTCATCTGAGTGATCATAGGTGCCCAGCTGGTTACAAAACAACACATTCTGAATGCCTGATGCTCTAGAGTTGATAGTGACAAGACAGTGTCATAATCCCTGCATGAGCACCGGCACCTTTCTTTTAGAACCCTTCGCCTGTAAGCACAGCCATTCAGGTTGGTATGTAACTAGTTGGATAGAGCAGTGTTCAATCCCAGAGAGTTGGGAGCTGTAATCATTGCATGCCTATCACAGACCTATTGTTATTATCAGCAGTCTAAGGGAGCGGCTGTGTTTCACAGCTGTACTTTGGACCTCTCTTCTCTTGGTCTTTCTGAGGTGGACCATAAAGGCAATTCTGTTAGCAAACTGAGTAGATTGGGCATAGAGTTGCAAGGAGCAGAAGGAATATGCGGCATATATTACTTTAGTAGCCCCTGGTGGGCAATCTGAACAGTTTTGCAGAGTTCTTTGTCTTACGTTTGTACCATCGATCTACCTGTAAACAACATTGTCATGGTGCTGTTGTTGTCACAGAACCTCGTGTGAATCAGCCTCCTGTGGCTGTTGTGTCACCACAGTCCCAAGAGATTTCACTGCCAACCACCTCTACTGTCATCGATGGCAGCCGTGAGTAACCTTATCAAATGTGATCCTGCAAGCTGAGGCTGGCTGTCCACTCAGGCAATGATCAGACTCTGTCATATTAAGATGGAGTAGACGAGCCACGTTTTAGTGGAAAGAGCCCATTCATAACCACACACAAGACTTTGACTTTATTTTTGCTGGAAACTCAGTTAACTCATCTTAATTATTTGTTAGGTTTTCCCTGTGATTCCTGTTAGCTTGGTGCTCTGTTGCCAATTTCTATCCTCATTTGGCACACGCCAGCCTAAACACAAGGTCTCCCTTGTGGGAGCTCTTGCCATGGTGAGTTCCTGAAATAGGAAGACCCAAAAGAATTGAAGCCTGACTGAGGTACAAAGAATCAAAAGAGTCTATTCAAAAGTGGTGTATTTATGTGCTAAACTGGCTAACTGATACGTTTGCAACTTAACACAGAGAGCCACCACTTTTAAATAGACTCAATTTGATCCTTCAATTTTGTTGTTAAACTCTGCCAAGCTTTCCTTTTAAACTTGTTCAGTTTTGTCTCATTGCCTGCCCAAAACCAATATCATTCCCTGGGAAAGACATGTGTGCCTGCAAAAACAGGGTACAGGATACACAATTTGACCAAACCAATATAATTGAGAAAGATCTGTAGCTAGGGATTGGGAAAAGAACCTTCACTCTCCAAACTTGTGTATAAAGAACCAAAACTCTTTATTTGAAATGTGGCCTCATGAAACCAGACTCCTGTGACATGTTTTTTATTGGATTAGAAAGCACTGATGATGATAGAATTGTCAGTTTCCACTGGGAAGAATTGAAGGGACCACTACGGGAGGAGAAGGTATCCACTGATACTGCCATATTAAAACTGACCAACTTGGTACCTGGGAATTACACATTCAGGTAAGTTTTGCATAAAGCACTTAATTAGTCCAGGTTTCTTATGAATTTCTTTAGTTAATTATATCCTATGTTGTGGTTTGCCCTCTTGTGATACAGGAGCTTTCTGATCAGTTGCTAATAGAGGTGTATACTATGTCACTTGAGTAAAGATTAAAAAATACCTGACTGACTTTTTAAATGTGTAGCATCAGTAGAAGACTAGCAGAAAAAGGAGAGTTTCATACAAGAGAGCTACTAAAATGTCTTTTGAAGTTCCAAAAATAGTTTATCCTACATTCAGGAGAAAATACTTAAATTACTTAAATATTCTACTCTGAATATAATGTGTTAATTAACAATGAACATGTTTTTAGACTTATGTATTTGTACAAATCGGTGGATAGTTATGTAGTGATTGATTTATTTTGCCATCAGCTTAAGACAAGGAAGGTATATATTTCCTTTGATTTTTAATTTGCTGTGGAGTCAATGCTAAACACAGCAATGGGTCTAATTAATAGTATGACACATGATATAACTCAGTACCCGCATGAACAGAATACCTTTTATATACAGCAGTGTGATAGGTTACCGAGTAGAAACTGGGGCTCAAGTTTTAGTAGAAGACTGTCTTACTTTGTGCCTTTTTTCTGCTTACGAACATCATTACCACAGTAATGATAGATAGCTGAAATAAACATGTGCTTTTAAAACTGACAATCCCTGCATTTCCAGTACAAAGGGTGTGACTTTTAACAGGGTATTGGAAAAATCTTGTTTTGTGAAATTTCTCTGCATTTGTAACTAGGTGATGGATATTAGGAGAGGGACGGATTTGGTACCCTTTGTTTACCTGCACCTCTGTAGGCATGGGCAATCGCAGCTCCCATTGGCCAGAGATCACTGTTCCCACCTAATGGGAGCTGCGGGAAGCAGTGTCGCAGTCCACAACATTTCTGCAGCTCCCCGGGGCTTGTACCTGTGGAGGTGCAGGTCAACAAAGTGTCTAGCGGCTAGCTAGCGGCTTTCCCTTACAAGCTACAACCCATAGTTTGAAAACCCCTAATGTATACAGTAAACTTCAAGATATCATCAGCTAAGGCTTCATTTCCAGATAAAGGTCTGCTTACAGAGGGAGAAAAAGTGGGAGGGATGTTAGATTGGGCTTTAGCAGGTCAGAGATTCAAACCTCCTGACTCATTGTTGTGATTATATTGAACATTCAGTGTCTCCCTTGTTTATACAAGAGAACCTTTTCTTGAGCTTCAAACGCCTTCTTTCCTTAAACTTTGTAAGATAAAGTAATATTCTTGCCTTCCCAACAATTTGCAAGTGGGGAGGTTTAGGCTTTTCAGTATTGTTAGATGTCCCCTTTGACCTGAGCAAATGTATAGCCCATTTGCAGGGCTCAACAATTAATGTAATCTACTCGCTCGTAGCGAGTAGATTATAACCGAACCACGCGACTGGCGAGTGGGGCTCATCGTGGTTTGGCGAGCCCTGCCCATTTGAATGTAAACAACAAACCTGTAGCTTGCCTAGCATAGTTGTTAAATTGCTCCTTTTTCGTAGTGGCTGAACTCATCTGAGTGATCATAGGTGCCCAGCTGGTTACAAAACAACACATTCTGAATGCCTGATGCTCTAGAGTTGATAGTGACAAGACAGTGTCATAATCCCTGCATGAGCACCGGCACCTTTCTTTTAGAACCCTTCGCCTGTAAGCACAGCCATTCAGGTTGGTATGTAACTAGTTGGATAGAGCAGTGTTCAATCCCAGAGAGTTGGGAGCTGTAATCATTGCATGCCTATCACAGACCTATTGTTATTATCAGCAGTCTAAGGGAGCGGCTGTGTTTCACAGCTGTACTTTGGACCTCTCTTCTCTTGGTCTTTCTGAGGTGGACCATAAAGGCAATTCTGTTAGCAAACTGAGTAGATTGGGCATAGAGTTGCAAGGAGCAGAAGGAATATGCGGCATATATTACTTTAGTAGCCCCTGGTGGGCAATCTGAACAGTTTTGCAGAGTTCTTTGTCTTACGTTTGTACCATCGATCTACCTGTAAACAACATTGTCATGGTGCTGTTGTTGTCACAGAACCTCGTGTGAATCAGCCTCCTGTGGCTGTTGTGTCACCACAGTCCCAAGAGATTTCACTGCCAACCACCTCTACTGTCATCGATGGCAGCCGTGAGTAACCTTATCAAATGTGATCCTGCAAGCTGAGGCTGGCTGTCCACTCAGGCAATGATCAGACTCTGTCATATTAAGATGGAGTAGACGAGCCACGTTTTAGTGGAAAGAGCCCATTCATAACCACACACAAGACTTTGACTTTATTTTTGCTGGAAACTCAGTTAACTCATCTTAATTATTTGTTAGGTTTTCCCTGTGATTCCTGTTAGCTTGGTGCTCTGTTGCCAATTTCTATCCTCATTTGGCACACGCCAGCCTAAACACAAGGTCTCCCTTGTGGGAGCTCTTGCCATGGTGAGTTCCTGAAATAGGAAGACCCAAAAGAATTGAAGCCTGACTGAGGTACAAAGAATCAAAAGAGTCTATTCAAAAGTGGTGTATTTATGTGCTAAACTGGCTAACTGATACGTTTGCAACTTAACACAGAGAGCCACCACTTTTAAATAGACTCAATTTGATCCTTCAATTTTGTTGTTAAACTCTGCCAAGCTTTCCTTTTAAACTTGTTCAGTTTTGTCTCATTGCCTGCCCAAAACCAATATCATTCCCTGGGAAAGACATGTGTGCCTGCAAAAACAGGGTACAGGATACACAATTTGACCAAACCAATATAATTGAGAAAGATCTGTAGCTAGGGATTGGGAAAAGAACCTTCACTCTCCAAACTTGTGTATAAAGAACCAAAACTCTTTATTTGAAATGTGGCCTCATGAAACCAGACTCCTGTGACATGTTTTTTATTGGATTAGAAAGCACTGATGATGATAGAATTGTCAGTTTCCACTGGGAAGAATTGAAGGGACCACTACGGGAGGAGAAGGTATCCACTGATACTGCCATATTAAAACTGACCAACTTGGTACCTGGGAATTACACATTCAGGTAAGTTTTGCATAAAGCACTTCATTAGTCCAGGTTTCTTATGAATTTCTTTAGTTAATTATATCCTATGTTGTGGTTTGCCCTCTTGTGATACAGGAGCTTTCTGATCAGTTGCTAATAGAGGTGTATACTATGTCACTTGAGTAAAGATTAAAAAATACCTGACTGACTTTTTAAATGTGTAGCATCAGTAGAAGACTAGCAGAAAAAGGAGAGTTTCATACAAGAGAGCTACTAAAATGTCTTTTGAAGTTCCAAAAATAGTTTATCCTACATTCAGGAGAAAATACTTAAATTACTTAAATATTCTACTCTGAATATAATGTGTTAATTAACAATGAACATGTTTTTAGACTTATGTATTTGTACAAATCGGTGGATAGTTATGTAGTGATTGATTTATTTTGCCATCAGCTTAAGACAAGGAAGGTATATATTTCCTTTGATTTTTAATTTGCTGTGGAGTCAATGCTAAACACAGCAATGGGTCTAATTAATAGTATGACACATGATATAACTCAGTACCCGCATGAACAGAATACCTTTTATATACAGCAGTGTGATAGGTTACCGAGTAGAAACTGGGGCTCAAGTTTTAGTAGAAGACTGTCTTACTTTGTGCCTTTTTTCTGCTTACGAACATCATTACCACAGTAATGATAGATAGCTGAAATAAACATGTGCTTTTAAAACTGACAATCCCTGCATTTCCAGTACAAAGGGTGTGACTTTTAACAGGGTATTGGAAAAATCTTGTTTTGTGAAATTTCTCTGCATTTGTAACTAGGTGATGGATATTAGGAGAGGGACGGATTTGGTTGTGGAACATTGTGCTCTGCCCTTATCATTACATGTTTTTGTGAAGCTTATTTTGCAACTGCACAGTTGACTTAAACTGTGTTTGGCTCCACTACTCTCCAGAGCAAAGGCTTCTATCCCATAGCAAAGTAGCTCTAGATTTCTAACTCCTAAGTTAAATCCAGACTCTTTTGTCCCTTTGCATTTGAGCTCTTTGCTTATCACCCTAACCTCTCCATTTTTAATCTTTGTTCTTTAGCCTAACGGTAGTGGATTCAGATGGTGCCAGCAACTCTACCACTGCAAGCTTGACTGTGAATAAAGCTGTGGATTATCCTCCAGTGGCGAATGCAGGTCCAAACCAAGTGATAACGCTTCCCCAAAACTCGATCACCTTGTATGGGAACCAGAGCACTGATGATCATAGCATTGTCAGCTACGAATGGTTACTCAGTCCCAGTAGCAAAGGAAAGGTGATGGAGATGCAAGTAGGTGGAGACTTCCCCCTAACATCCTACATAGTGCTTATCCATTGTTCTGTGATGTAGCCACTTTAAGGTCTAGTTTGTATGCAGAAACATCTCTTATAATCCATGCAAGTCTGTGTGTTGATTAAATATCAGTGTATGTTTAAACCTAAATACATTTTAAGATGATATCAGATTTGATGGCTGCACTAACAGCCTCATTTAGCCTTATTCAAGTCTTCCCCATTTCCTCTTGGTATCTCACTTCACTACTCTCCCATCATGCTCCAGGGTGTGGATATTATCTTCATTTACAAGTTGAGTTGTACATTACTTATTGGTTTGATGCTATGCATACTTGTGGGCCCCATCTATGTGATCAGTGATAATAAGCAGCCATTTTCTGCCCAGTACTGGTTCTGGCCCTTCATATCTCTGACCCCTCCAGTGTCAAGAGTTATCCTAATGCTCTAACTTGTTTTCTCAAAGGGTGTGAGGACACCAATTTTACAGCTCTCTGCAATGCAAGAAGGTGATTACACCTACCAGCTAACGGTGACTGATTCAGCAGGTCACCAGTCCACCGCTGAAGTCACTGTAATAGTGCAGCCTGGTAAGTTCTCATTATTATTAAACTGGGCTGTTGCCAGGCACAGCTGGCAACATTGCTGTCGCTAACTCCCAACTCTACCAAAACACTTCTAATTTGACTGTCACTTCACCAACCCTCTGTGCTTCACTTTCTCTAAGCGTGGGACAGGGGTAATATCTGTCTAAGGCTTCTACTGAACTAAGTATCTATGAGTAAACAAGCCCAAACTTTGCCTCACAGAACAATCAGCGTGTTTGATTGCATTTCCTCTTGTTTTTTTATCTGCAATCCTTTGCTAGAGAACAATAAGCCCCCCAAAGCAGATGCTGGTCCAGATAAAGAACTGACGCTCCCTGTTGACAGCACCACTCTAGATGGCAGCAAGAGCTCAGACGACCAGAAGATAGTTTCTTTCCTCTGGGAAAAAACAAGGTCTGTATCAAACTTGGGAGCATCGGTAGCTTTAAATTTGAGTTTTAAAATATACCGGGGTTAAAATCTTGGTTCCATTGAATTCAATGGGAGTTTTTCCAGTAACTACAATGGGACTGTGATTAGGTTGTTGATTGAAGAGCCCCAATGTACGCCTTGCTGGAGCCCTAAGCATAAGTAACATATGAACCAAAGGGTTCCAGCAAAGCTTGCACCTAGTTTTGTTTAAGCACTGGGATTATCTTAGCTTAGCATTAAACTCTTTAGGCCTGATTCTCATTTACACTACATTTCTGATAGTGTTAAAAGACCTCGCCCACTTTAAAAAGCCCCTTTACACTAACAGTGTAAATGAGAATTTGGGCTAATGGACACTCCTTTTTTATTTTAAATGGGGTCTTCTTGCACCACTTTCTTGACCACAAATAGCATTTCTTCTCCTGCAGCCCTATTAATTTTGGTCCTTGTCAGTCTTCTCCTAGGAAGCTCTGACTACTTTGTGAAGTTTAGAGCAAAGCCTATAGATAACTTCTACATGTAACTGTTGGTTTTGTGTTAGCCCAAAAATGCAAGCTGTGTGCAAAGTTTCTGCTGTAAAAGGAGCTGTAATTGCTATAATATTTTCACTGTTTGCTCGTTGTGCAATTACCATAAAGCTATTTTTTCTAACAGTCATTTGCATTCAGTAAATGCTAACAAAGCACTTTTGGCCTGGGGAATGTTGGCACGTTTAATTTCCCCTAGACCCCCTGAGATCGTGCAGAGTATAATGTATGTGGGATTTACCCATTTTAGTATCTTATTGCCTGAGTTTGGAAGAAATAAATTTTTCTTTATACACTCCAGTATCTTATCTCCTGCTGAGGTACAGGGATATTACCTGGTAACTATGCTTATTGTTAATAGGGATGTAAGAGTGTAGCTATTTAAATGGTTAACCAATAAGCATAAGCATAACCAATAAGCTTATTGGTTTCCATTACAGTTACACGCCAGCTCCCTGCCCCACTCCCGAGGAGCTGACTGCTCTGATACAAAGCCAGCAGTCTGGAGTGGCAGCCAGCTCCCTGGGAGCAGAGTCGGGAGCCGGTATGTGCTCGAATCCAGCTGCCACCCTGTGCTGTGGACTCTGATACAGAGCCTGCAGCATGTGGCAGCAGCTGGCTCCCCAGAAGTGGAGCCGGCATAAACCAGTTCCTACATGCACTGGCTGCTGGCCCCACTCCTGGGGAGCCAGCTGCGCTACGGGCTCTGCAGTATAAGATTTATACTGCAGAGCCCTCAGCATGTAACCATTATGATTTTTAACGGTTACACAGTGACGTTATTAGCTGGTTTTTTTTACATCTCTAATTGTTGTTAGTTTATATCCCCTCTTCATTGGTGTTAAACCAATCTTGTTTAAAGAATACAGTCTAATGCGCTTTTGTTTTGCCTAGGGGACCAGATGGTGTAAAACTAGAGAATGCCAACAGCAGCATTGCTACCGTAACTGGGCTTCAGGATGGAACATATGAATTCACACTGACTGTCAAAGATGAAAGGAACTTGCAAAGCCAGAGCTCAGTTAATGTCATTGTCAAAGAAGGTATGTCCAGTTGTGCTTGGAAGTGAACAGTAACATCAGAAGACTGACTATGCAATCACTGAGGGCAATCAGTGAAGATCTCTGCTCACTGAAAAGCTGTGCTCAAAAAAAATCAAAGTGCCTAGGGAACAGGATGGAAAATAATATGGGAAATGTTCTAATGTCCTTATACACAGCAGTAGTTGGCATGGGGTAAACTACCCTGTGTCAGAAAGAACACTGGAGTTGGAGGGGGTTCAGAGAAGCGCCACAACTTCTTTAATTCTGTTTCTACGGCATCTGTACAGTGGGATCATGGTTCATGACTGAGGCTCTTAAGCACAATAATACAAATAAATAAAAGTAATCATAAGAAGAAAAAAGGCTGGAGGCCTTGAAAAACTCTCATTTGAAGAGCAATTGCAAAATTTGAGAGTGTTTAGAAAGGACTAGAAGAGGGCATAATACAAGCATATAAAATAACAAATGGCCTAGAGAAAGGGAGATCAGTAACTTTTGTTTTCCTAGTCTCTTAATACAAGAACAAGAGGACTGTAACTGAAATGAAATGGTGTTGAATTCAAGCCTGATAATGTTTTTTTCACACAAAGTATAACGAGACTCTGGATTTCATTGTCTTCAGATGTCATTGAGGCTAAAACCTTAGCAAGAGTCATAGAGGGCTTTATACACATAACAAGAATATCCCGTTATAACAGTTAATGCTATAATGAGAGGTTTCGAAGGTTATGAAATCTCATGCTTGGGCTTAAGCCAGTCTGTATTAGGATGAGACCTTTGTGAGGCAGACTGTTACCTGTCAACTGTGAGGTTTTCAGCACCTTCCTCTCGCTCATCTGGTGGTAGCACCTGACAAAGACAGAATACTGGACTAGATCCAGTCTGGTAATTCCTATTCCTGTACGTCAGTATGATCAGTTTCTCTTGCTGCTACTTGAGGGAATTCACTGGTTCAGAATTCAGCCAGGACTTTGCCATTAACAGTTATTCTTACAAAAATTGCCATGGATCCTTAGTATGAGTCTGGTCAGGAACTCCAGTGTCCCCTCCCAGCACCGTACTGGGCAGAGGTTCAAACATGCCTGGAGTACCTAGGTCCAATCAGACCCTGCAAGTTACAGGTGCCTAGGTTACAGCACAGCACCGGGCGCTATACTTTCCATTTAAGGTCTAGCAAAGTCTCTTCCCCATTTTCTTTCTGTTTATTTAGAGATAAACAAGCCACCAATAGCGAAGATTGCTGGGAATGTGGTCATCACCCTGCCTACAAACACAGCAGCCCTGGATGGATCCAAATCCTGGGATGATAAGGGAATTGTCAGCTACCTGTGGACTCGGGATGAGGGGAGTCCAGCGGCGGGGGTGAGTGCTGCAAATATGGTCTCTGTAAAGGGAATATTCAGTATTGCGTGAGTAGGGAGGATGTAGGGAGGTTTTGCTAGACTCTTTGGCAAGTAGCTCCTGGAAGTGTATAACATTGGTTCCTGCACGCTGATTGCTACATGGAGCGATGCATCCCAGTATGCTGTATAGAGGTCAAATCTGTAGCGGCCTTGTGTGTTTCCTAATGTGTGTTTTGTTCACATTCCCAGGAGGTGTTAAATAATTCAGACCACCACCCCGTGCTTTTCCTCTCCAACCTGGTGGAAGGGACGTATACGTTTCATCTGAAAGTGATGGATGCCAAAGGAGAGAGTGATGCAGAGAGGACCACAGTGGAAGTCAAAGCTGGTGAGTCCTGTTGTTTTTTGCACCATGGAGATCCTTTCTAAATTGGAGTATCCTGCCATGAATGCTCCTTTCCTGGCAATGACAAAAGCAGGTTTGAATACCCAGGATCTTAGTAACAACAAAGGATTCTTATTGCAGATCTTGTTTAGGAACTCTGTACCTTGATGTATGCTCTGAAATGACAGAATCAGCTGCAGCAAATTGTGTCTCTGTATTTGGAATGAACCAAAATCCATTAAGAGCCGACAAAGTTAGAATATAAATTTAGAGGGAGCTGATTAAATGATGTGGATCATTATGCCTGATGAACATTAGCCTCTGGACACGCTATTTCAATGCAGTCTCTCTAGTGTGTCAGATAGAATAAGTGTATCTTTTGGGAATTAGATAATATCTTAGTGCTTTGAGGGGCTCAGATGAAAGGTGAAATAGCAGTGCAGGTTATACAGATGCCATAAATTCTTGGAGTAAAGGTCCATCAATGGCTGTTATCCAGGATGGACAGGGATGGTGCCCATAGCCTCTTTTTGTTGGAACTTGGGACTGGGCGACAGGGGATGGATCACTTTATTGCCTGTTCTGTTCATTCCCTCCTGGGCACCAGGTCGGCCACTGTCAGAAGATAGGATACTGAACTAATTATTCCACTATGTAGGAAAGATAGAAAGTATGGCAGGAGACAACCTTGGCTCAACCGGGAGATCTTATATGATCTAAAAATAATAAATGAGTTGTATAAAAAATGGAAACTGGGTTAAATTACAAAGGATGAATATAAGCAAACAACACAGGTATGTAGGGGCAAGATTAGAAAGTCAAAGGCACAAAACCAGCTAAATCTAACTAGAGGCATAAAGGGTAACAAGAAGATGTTCTACAAGTATATTAGGAGCAAGAGGACAGGGTAGGCTCATTGCTCAGTGAAGAGGGAGAAACAATAATAGCAAACTTGGAAATGGCAGAGGTTCTTAATGACTTCTTTGTTTTGGTTTTCATCAAGAAGGTGGATGGTGATGAGATGTCTAACATAGAGAATGCTAGTGGAAATGCGGTAGGTTTAGAAGTGAAAATAAAAGAACTAGTTAACAATTAGATGTCTGCAAGTCACCAGAGAAATGCATCATAGAATGCTCAAGGAGCAGATATAGGAGGTATCTGAGCTTTTAGCTATTATCTTTGAAAATCATGGAAGTCGGGAGAGACTCTAGAAGACTGGAAAAGGGCAAATACAGTGTCTATCTGTAAAAAGGGAAATAAAAACAACCCAGGAAAGTACAGACCATTCAGTTTAACTTCTGTCAGTGAAGATAACGGAGCAAGTAATTAAGGAATCCATCTGTAGACATCTGGAAGATAATAAATATGGTGATAGGTAACAGCCAGCATGGATTTGTAAAGAACAAATCATGTCAAACCAATCTGATAGGATATCAAGTCTTGTGGATAAGGGGGAAGTGGTGGATGTGGTATACCTAGACTTTAGTAAGGCATTTGACATGGTTTCTCATGACCTTCTTATCAATAAACTAGTGAAATGTAACCTAGATGGGACTGCTATAAGGTGGGTGCATAACTAGCTGGACAGTCGTTCCCAGAGAGTAGTTATTAACAGTTCACGATCATGCTGGAAGGATTTAACAAGTGGGGTTCTGCAGGAGTTTGTTTTGGAACTGGCACTGTTCAGTATCTTCATCAATGATTTAAATGATGGCATAGACAGTACGCTTATTAAGTTTGCAGATGATACCAAGCTGGGAGGGGTTGCAAGTGCTTTGGAGGGTAGGGTCAAAATTCAAAATGATCTGCACAAACTAGAGAAATGGTCTGAGGTAAACAGGATGAAGTTGAATAAGGACAAATGCAAAGTACTCCACTTAGGAAGGAACAATCCGTTTCACACATACAGAATGGGAACCGATTGTCTAGGAAGAAGTACTGCAGAAACGGATTTAGGGGTCATAGTGGACGACAAGTTAAAAATGAGTCAATGGTATGACATTGTTGCACAAAAAGCAGACGTGATTCTGGGATGCATTAACAGGAGTGTTGTGAGCAAGACATTAGAAGTCATGCTTCCACTCTACTCTGTGCTAATTAGGCCTCAATTGGAGTATTTTGTCCAGTTCTGGGCACCACATTTCAAGAAAGATGTGGAAAAATTGGAGAAGGTCCAGTGAAGAACAACAAAAATGATTAAAGGTCTAGAAAACATGAACTGTGAGCGAAGACTGAAGGAATTGGGCTTGTTTAGTTTAAAAAAGAGAAGACTGAGAGGGGACGTGATAGCGGTTTTCAGTTACCTAAAAGGATGTTACAAGGAGGAGGGAGAAAAATTGTTCTTCTTAGCCTCTGAGGATAGGACAAGAGGCAATGGACTTAAATTGCAGCAAGGGAGGTTTAGGTTGGACATTAGGAAAAACTTCCTCATTGTCAGGGTGGTTAAACACTGGAATAAATTGCCCAGGGGAATTGTGGAATCTCTGTCACTGGAGATATTTAAGAGCGGGTTAGACAGACACCTGTCAGGGTTGATCTACACAGTGCTTGGTCCTGCCGTGAGGGCAGGGGACTGGACTTGATGACCTCTTGAGGTCCTTTCCAGTTCTATGATTCTATGAGCTAAATGGACCTTTGGTCTGACCCAGTGTGGCCTTGCCTTTTGAAAATACCACACAGGTGAGCCGAGGAGTTGTAGTGAACTGTCTTCTGTAATGTACTAGACATCTGATGGAAAATTAACTGGTCTTCTTTGCTCATAGTTCTGAATATGGGATTTCCTATTGTAGTGAACTTTTGACTCGGCTAAGAATAGTACACATGTGAGAAACTGTGTGTGGGGGCGGGCAGGAGACAACAATTATGTTTTTCTACAGCCTTTGAAGGTGTTGGCCCATTCTCCATGTGGAGAGCCCCAGCGCAAAGAGCCTTACTATTTTCCATTATGTATTAAGGCCATGTCATCTTTGTTATCCCTTCATTATTAGATGTTCCACTTTGTCTCCAAATAAAAGTTTGCTGGGGGATATTAACAATTAAGATTTTTCACCCACACTGTCATGTGAAAGCCCTTAAGGATCTGCATGATCTTGTTCTGTGTTCTCCATAGATCCAAGGAAAAACAATCTTGTGGAGATGATACTGGATGTTAACGTCAGCCAGCTGACAGAACGGCAGAAAGGCATGTTAATCCGTCAGATAGGCGTTCTACTGGGAGTCCTGGATTCGGACATTACTGTTCAAAAGATTCAGCCATACACAGAGCAGAGGTAGGAGCCATGGAGTGAGCTGCACAAGGGTGAACTCAAGAAACATTCACTCTCCAGTGGAAATCAGAATGGGTGATAACGGCATGCTGAGATGCTGCTTAAAGTGTGTGCTCTTGAGTGACTCGGATTTGTGAATGTGAGTGGTCAGATAGGTATTCCTGTTCCAAAAGCCAGGTCCTGCTTGCTGCTGTGTTTGGTCCTTGATTCTACAGATCAGTGGGGCAGTCTATTACAAGGTCAGATGGGAAAGTAACTTGATGTTTTTGAAGGTTAGGAAGAATTTCTACAGATGTACTCGCCTCATCTCAGAAAAGATATCTTCTCATTGGAAAAAGTTCAGAAAAGGGCAACAAAAATTATTAGGGGTTTGGAACAGCTGCCATATGAAGAGAGGTTAAAAAGTAGCAGGTTTAAAACAAAAGGAAGTATTTCTTCACACAGTGCACAGTCAATCTGTGGAACTCCTTGGCAGAGGATGTTATGAAGACCAGGACTTTAGCAGACTTCAAAAAAGAGCTAGATAAATTCATGGAGGATTGGTCCATGATGGGCAGGGATGATGTCCCTAGCCTCTGTTTGTCAGAAACTGGGAATGGGCCTAACGGGGTGGGATCACTTGATGATTCCCTGTTCTGTTCATTCCCTCTGGAGGCACCTAACATTGGACACTGTTGGAAGACAGGATACTGGGATAGATGGACTTTTGATCTGACCCAGTATTGCAGTTCCTATGTTCTCTGATGTGTTCTAAGGAGATGCTTTGGTGAAATGTAAACAGTTGGGCAGGATACATTGAGAACAGGGTGAATTCTCTGACGCTCATTGGCAGTTTGGGCAAGGGCCAGTTAGGCACAGCTCCAGTTTCAACTTCAGCCCTGGGTGTTGCTGCGGTCTGGGGCTGAAGCATGATCTCTGAGTCTAAGACAACTCTGGGTACCTTCCACTTTGGGGCCCGACTCGCCGTTTGAGAGCTGTTGAACTGGAATGATTTAAAGAACATGACAGTGCATGTAGATAAGCACCCCTAGAGAACTATAGGCCCACCTGGAAAGCATTAGCAGTCTGTAGAGCTTTGTCCTGGTCTGTGTTCAGTAAAAATGTTTATTCTTTACAAACACCTCTCAAAGATCAGAGGAAACAAAGATAGTGAGACATACCCATGGTCTCACACAAGTCAGTTGCAAATACAGGATTAGACCTTGTGCTTTCCTGATTTCCAGCCTTTTCTTGATTCCTGCATGTCCACTCTACCTATGACGATGTTAAAAGCAGAGCAATTCATTGTCTTTGGCAAACGTAAAAAAAATTAGATGAGCCAAGAAATGGATGAACCGATGCTTTTAGTCCTAACGATATTTTTTCCATCTCTGTCTTGAACCTAGTTGCCACAATTCTTCCTCTGAGCAGGGGAGTGAGGCATTTCTTCGAAACAATATGTATTTGCCTGTTACAAGTAAAACATAATTAAGTAAATGGATGGAGTGAAAAGAACTCTAAAAAGGTGCAGTTCTGTTGTAACAGATAACTCAAAACATAACTCAGAACATGTGTTTGTCTCCATGGCTGTCTGTCATATTCAATTTGAGGTAAAATGAGAGCTTCTTTCGTGCAAGAGCTGCATGGTCTTGGTCTGTGTTCTGTGAGCCAGGAAGAGTCTGTTTACTCTCTTTTCTGGAATATAGTGATGACCAGCTGACATGTAATTCTGGCCAGATTCTCTCGGTAACATTTTCTCATGTCTGATTTGCAGCACAAAGATGGTGTTCTTTGTGCAGAACCAGCCTCTCCATCAGATCTTCAAAGGGCACGATGTGGCATGGACGCTCAAAAGTGAACTCCGGAAACAGCAGTCTGACTTCCTCATCTTCCGAGCACTAGAAATTAATACAGTCAGTAAGTAGGAGTAATGGTGGAAGGAGCTAACTTCTGTTCCCCACACTGGGCTGTTACCCCCTCCCCATCCCGCTCTGAAGAAAGGATTCTAGGTCTTGTGCCAATAGTAAATCAAAGTCCGCAGTGAGCATTGTGTGTCCCCCACCACCGCCGACGCCTGATCCACAGAGTTATGTCAGTTCTCAGCTTGAGAGTCTGACTGCTTAGCTGAAGTTTGTAGACACTTGTGCTTTTCGGTCTGGAGCTGCCTTGTTCAGTCCGTAGCGTGGGCCAAGAGGGAATCATCCCATGTGCATCCCCATTCCTATTATACGTATCAAAGACACTGGTAAGCTGTGCTAGGAACCTGCCGCTTCCCGTTTGCCCTGTGGATCCGAGTGTGTTGGAGCACGACAGCATAGCTTTGCTCTCTGCTTATTATGCTTGAAAAAGAAGACATGCTTGGCATCTATCTCAGCTAAAGCCTCCTACAGAGAAGGTTAATTATCCTTAACTTTCTCAGTGGGTCTGGAGCCACTCACACACAGCTGATCTATTTGCAGCTCTAGCTTTGTGATCTGGAGAGAAATTTAGCTCCGTTTTCTTAAGAAATGAAAACCAGAAATGAGAAATCAGGTCGGTTTCACAGGCCAGTGAGAACAGGAAAAACATACTGAGTGAACGGGTTCCAGGTTGATGCCTGTGGGATTGGGCAGTTCAGAAGCATCCACTTTATTATAGTTTCTGATTTTTTTTCTTGGGTACTATGCAAGTTCTGAATCATTCTGCCCTAATGATATACAATGCTTGTACTTAGTTAATCCCACAACCCCTGCAAGAAATACCAAAATATTGTCCCCACAGTGACTTGCCTTATAACCCCCTCATCTTTTGAGTTTGGTGTAAAAATAGGCACTGGAACCCTGAATTCCTGGCTCCACTCTTGTCTCCTCTTCCCATGTGTAATCAGGAATGGGAAAAAGCAGGGGGCCAGTTTGCCCACAGGCTGCCCCGATTTTTACTAGGGATGTTAGATAGCATGTAATTGAATAGTCATGTGACCGCATGAAATTTTAGTGGTTACACAACTTTTCAATAGTCCCCAGGGGTAGGGTGGCAGCCAGTGCACTCCCAGACCCACTCCCGGGAAGCACCCTGCACTGCTGCCTCTGTAACAGGAGCAGCATCATGGAGTGGCAAGCGGGAGCTGGTCCACGAAGGGAGCCAGTTTAAAAATCAGATAGAGAATCAGCAGCACGGGATGCCAGCAGTCCCTGTCCACAGAGAGCTCAGACCCCTTCATGGCATCCCCTGTGGACTGATATATTAAGCAACCTCTTGCTGCAGACAGAGGCTGTCCCATGCGATGCTGGAGCAGCTTCTGTCCGTGGGGAGCTCAGACCCCTGTGGGCAGGGGCTACTACCACAGAGCAGCCTCTGCCTGGGCTTACTGCAGACAGAAGCTGCTTCGCAGCAGCCTCCCCTGTCCTCCTTCCCTCTGCTGCTGTCTCTGATAGAGGCAGCAATGAAAGGGGGGTAGGTGGCACCTCCGAGCCGGTGCTGTGGGGAACCAGCTTTTAAGCCAGCTTCTGCCTGTCACCCCCTCCCCCCGCTGTCTGCTTCTGTAGGAGTCAGCAAGAGGGGGGCAGGCGGGTCTGCGGAGCTGGCACACGCAGAGAGCCACTTAAAAGCTGGTCCGTGCACGTATCAGCTCCTGCCTGTCACCCTCCATACTGCTGCCTCTCTATCAGAGGCAGCAGCATGGGGGTTGGGAACAGGCGAATCTGGTGCTCGTGGGGAGCCAGCTTTTAAGCCAGCTCCCCACCCTCCACCCACCCAAGGAGGCGTGAATGCATGTAGTCGACAAGATTAACTGATAAACCCAGTCTGATAAACTGATAAACCTACACAGACCTCCCTAATTTTTGCACGGCTGCTGTTGTAACTCGTGCATTCTGTGGCTTAAGTCTCAGTCTAATCTCATTCTCAGCCACTCAGTTCATCTTCCTGCTTCCTGTCCCCAGCCTGCCAGCTGAATTGCTCCGAGCACGGGCGCTGCGACTCATTCACCAAGCGCTGCATCTGTGACCCTTTCTGGATGGAGAACTTCATCAAAGTGCAGATGGGAGATGGCGAGAGTAACTGTGGTATGTGCAATCTGGGGTGCGGGGGTTACTGCTTTCTTGAAGAGAGCTGCGTGGAAGCAGCCGAGGGCTGCCTAGTTGGACTGATGTTGCATGAAGCCCGTTGCCATGCTGAAGAGCAGCTGTCTGCCAGCGTTGATATCCTGTTACCTAGATATGGGGCTCAACGTGGTTAAAGGCAAAACTCTCATTGATTTTTAATGGGAGCAGGAGCAGAATCCCTATCTTGGTCAGTGACTATTGGTAGGAAGCTGATCTCCAGAGCCCTGAGATAATGAGCCCTGACCAAAAGAGTTGAATCTATTTTCAGCGCATACAGTTAGCACCTCTGTCCTTTTCCCTTGCTCGCACAGCAAAGTGGAGTTGCTGCCCATGCTTCCGCCTCCATTTCACAAAGTGTAATGTTAATGTTAATGCAGTTATACCACAGAAGCAGAATTCACTATTAAATCAGACTCACACTTCCCTGCCATGGAGGGCTAACTAGTTAATAATTAAATACATCGTGTGAGACATGTCTTGTTAGTGGTGTGGGTGACAGAGAGACAAGCAGAGAGAGGGTCTGGAGAATCGGGTCTGCCAGAGGAGTTAGTGGTAGAGCTGGCAGCAGAACGCTGGTCTCTTTAGTGCTATTAAGTGATGTGGCATCTCTTTGTTAGAGTTGACCTTCTATAGAAGGGTCACCTAAAGTCCCAGCCATGAACTGTGTGAGGTTCTAAACTGTGTATCTCTTGGGATTTTTTGGTCACAGAATGGAGCGTGCTGTATGTGATCATTGCGTCCTTTGTCATTGTGGTTGCCTTTGGAATCTTATCCTGGACTGTGGTCTGCTGTTGTAAGAGGTAACAACCTGGGCCATTAAATCCTCATCTCTAAAGCTTCAATGCATGTAGCTGCTGCCTGAGGCAGAGGTGATCCAAACCAGTAGTTTAAGCAGATCACTTAAAGGGATGTAAGCGACTAGTCACTCCCCTGCCCCCCTTGCTGCCTCTATATCAGAGGCAGCAAGGGAAGGGGGGAACAGGAGCCAGTATTGGGGGAGCCGGCTTAAAAGCTGGTTCTCCCCAGCACCGTCTTCATGGGGTTGGGATAGCAGGGGAGGCAGAGGCACTGTGGGAAATGGTGTGAGCAGGGCTTGAAGCGGTCCCCAGTCGTGCCAGTGTGACTGCTGTGCCTCTGCCTTTTAAATGTAGCAAGAGCCCAAGTGCAGCAGGAACCCTGGGCAAGCAGGGACTCAACTGGCCCCACTTCACCCCGGGTTCCCCACTGCGCCTCTGCCTTTTAAATGTAAGAGCAGGCTGCTCTTATTACATTTAAAAGGCAGAGGTGCACCTGAGATAGCCCCACTCCATATCGACTAATTGAGTAGTCGATGGAAATGAATCAAAATGTAACATCCCTAGTCACTTATTCAGGCCTCTGTTATTCCCATTTCTCAAAGTATCTGCCATTTGTTGCTGATTTAGAAAAAATGCATTGTGAACAATGGTGTAATAAGGGGAGGGTGGGGCAGAGTGGTACAGGTGAAGCATAAAGGAACTCAAGGTTGAGTTTGGATGCAATATTTAGATTCATGTAAAATTGTGCAACGAAAGTAATTTGTTAATATAGTGTCCTCTCATATGACTAACATTAGAAACAAGACACAACTCTTATGTTTAAATCTTTTCCTGTCTGAGTTTGTCTAAATGGGAACATCAGCCTAACTTTCTTCCTTTTCCAGGAGGAAAGGAAAACCCAAAAGAAAAAGCAAATACAAGATTTTGGATGCCACCGATCAAGAGAGTCTGGAGTTAAAACCAAACCTCAAAGCAGGTAATACATGAGAGAGGAACTTAACACTTCTGGAATGCTGACACAGTACAGTCCTGCTCCCGAGGATTTAATATGGCAGTGTGACACGAGCGTAATACTGAGGGATGAAGGCAACGCTAAGCAGGTCTGGGGGTTTGCTTCAGATCTAAAGAGCCACATGGTCAAAGCTTATCACCCTCCTTGTTCTAGAAGAAAGGCTGGAAACTTCCTAGGAAATAGCCCTGTCCTGGTCTTTCCAGCTTTTGTCACATTACAAAAAAAGCACATGAACAGCCACCTCTGGTTCTGACCCCAACCAGATCCAAGCAGTGAAGAGAGGAGCAAAAGCATAATCAAAAGTTATTTATATAAAGAGTTTGGGCTCAATTTTCTTTTGAATGTATTTACTCCTCTCTAGCATCTAAAAATTCATTGTCCTTATTAAACCTCTCAGCTGGATCCCAGAGTAGCATAGTTTTTTTGCTGCTGAGAAATGGAGCAGCATATTGGATTTGGACTGACAAATGAACAACAGTAAGCAGTGTCTGATTTCTATAAAGGCAGTGGGAACCAGGCACCTGCATGGCCTGGTCTGCTCCACTCATGAGAGACTCTGGTTTTCCCCTCCCCCCCCCAATCCTCCAGCCTCAAATTTCCATTTAAAAATATCCCAAGAGTCTGTGTCAAAGTGAATTGTTCCCTCTGGTTGCTGCCCTAGGACAAGTAGGCAGTGGGACTGTGTGCTGAGAGGTTCTCATGACTCTGGTGTGAGTATGAACTGGGATGTATGGGAGGGCAGCAACCTAAGCTAAGAATTTGGAAACATATTGAGGCCTTGAGACACTGGGTTTGAAAGCCTGCCATGCTGGCTAGGAAGGCTGACGTCTTCCTTGGAATCAAGACTTTTTAAAAACCCAGGTTGTGCGTGTTCTTTGTGCACACAGAATCCATTGCCTTTCCCACCAGGTCAGAGTTTGTCCCTATGTCCTGAGCCAGTATTCCCTCCCTCCCCTCCCCTTTCACTTGGTGCATTCTGCTGGGGTGGTTCACCTCTACCCGAGGTGACTGCATTTGTTCTGCGGGGGATCTAGAAATGATGTGTTTGTACCTGCAGAACACTGGCACCCAATCATTGCTGCTGGGGAAATGGCCGAGGGTAGGGAACGAGGATGCAAAGCCTGGGCAGAATGTGTACACATCCTCCAAAGAGCGAGAGAGATTTCAGCTCTTAAAATAATCCTTATTAACGAGACTCTTCACCTCCTGTTTGTATGAAAGGGGAGAGGTTGTTTTAACAGTGCATGGAAAATAGTCCTTAATCCTTGTTTGCTAGCTGAAAATAATTGCTCATCATAGTAGTATCCTCCTTAATGACGTTCCAGCAAAGTGAACAGTGCCTAATGACAGCAGTGGAGGGCATTGCCAGGACTGTGCCGATCAGATCATTCCTCTGGGAGCGATGTATCCTGAAAGCACAAGTTTGAATACCCTTGAAGAAAGCGGGGACTTCCTCTGCCGATAACATGCCAGATGGCCAGGCTTAACTGGGGTGGGCAACTAGCACCAAAGATCCTTATCAGCAAAAGGGCTTATTGTTCCACCATCACTCTGTGGCACACATACCTCAACCACTCGCTTTTCACTGGTAACTAAATTCCCTCCTTGATGCTTTAGCTGTTGTCTGCTAAGCAGAGTGTCTCTTTGCTCAGTTCCACGTGGGAGCGTTCTCTCTTCCAGAGCAAATGTTTCATTTCACTGTTAAGTTGAAAACTGAAATCTAAATATTTCTTCTGTTGACAATATTGGTAAACATGTCTCTCCTCCGCCCTTGTGAATTTCATCTCATTTCAGCCCATTAATTTATCTTCCTTCCCTTGCAGGCTGGAGGAGAAGCAGCAGTGCTAGAGAAGGGCAAATAGTAAGAGTAGGCAGTGATAATACTGGTACATCCTTGCTTACTCTTTACTACTTCCTCTCTTACCATAATAGAACTATATGTAGGCAGTGCCCTTTCCCTAGGTCAGGGAGGTGTGAAAGCCCCAAATACCTCTCATTCCCCCCCCCCCCCCCCCCCCCCACCCAACCTCAGCAATTTCTCTGTGTGTTGTGTCCTGGAGCATCTCAACATGAATGTGAGACCTGATCGTGTCATGATGCCTAAAACAAACTTGGGGGTGGGGATCTTGCAAGCCGGGTGGAGTTGGGTGATAGTTCCAGAGAACTGGGTGGATTTCTTGACTGTGGGTGTATGCCTAATAGCAGCATGGAGGGAGCAGGTGGACCTTTCTCTGTTCACTCACATGTGTGTCATTGAGAATGTTGAGAGTGTTTCTAATGTGGGATTCTCTTTGGCATCTTTTAAAGGCAGCAGACAGAAAGCTCAGGTCCTTAACACCAGCCTGATGCACTCTGAATCTGAACTGGACAGCGACGAAGCCATCTTCACGTGGCCAGACCGAGAGAAAGGGAAACTGCTCCGTAGTCAAAATGGCTCCCTGCGCAACGGACAGGCACTGCCCAAACCGAAGAACCAGAGGGAAGAGATCTTATAGCCAAGCTCTAAGTCACTTTTAGGTAGGGGACAGAGCAAAAGCGGGGACCACTCCAGTCCCCGGTTCCAGGGAGCCTTTGGAGACCAGCTGGATCGTGTTAGGAGAAAGCTGCTAACTTATTTCCCGGAAACGACTTTTGTTTTTGTGGGTTTCTTTTTATGTGACTAGAACTGGTTGTACTTGAATCCTGACTTCAAGGGAAATTAAAGGGAGGAAAAGGAAACTGTGAAATGCAGACTACCTGGCCTCTGGAATGCAACAGGATAGAGCCACTTCCTGCAGCTGTGAATGCACAGACCCACCTACTAGGACTGCCATGGAGGTGAAATTCCCATGGACCTTCAGTTTACTCCCCACTGGAGGTTTCTTCTCTCTGAAGGAGGGTCTGGCTCGTGCATGTAAGAGCCGTGCTTTGGGCTCCCATCGCACCACTGTAGCCTCCACTAGTGATGGCACACTAACTGACTTTTTAAAAACGAGAAAGCACCTAGCTCATGTGCTACTTCAGCCACAGAAAAAGCTTTTTAGTTTTTCCCGTCTCTCCCCTCCCCCTCCACTGATCAAGCCCCAGTTCTACTAAAAATTAACCTTGTGTTTTCACCCCAGCTAACCATGCGGGGTGTGGGGCATTTAAAGTACCATGCTCACACAAAAGGGGCTGCATCGGTTCACAGCTAAGGGGGTTGCAATTATGTTAAATTATTAGTCTTTTCACTGGGAATGGAGATGAAGTGGCACCTAATCAGATCCCGAAACTTTAGCTGGAATGAACAGCCCATCTCCAGAGTCTGTGCCGACCAGCTGGACTGGATGTCCTCATCCCGTCAGTGAGCCCTCCCCGGTTTGTTCCAGACCTTAGGGATCCTTTGCTAATGGGAAGGAGAGTGCCTGCCTTTCTGGGATCTGCGACTAATAGCTTAATTCCAAGCCCTGAGATACTTGTTCCCCTCGGCAGCACACCATGTAGATTCTTATACGCGTCCACGTGTGCTCAGTAACACTAAAACATCAGCACTTCCCACCCTACTGTAGAATGTCGTGACACTGTCCTTTCTTCAAACACTTACACATGTCAAAGACAAACCTGGGCGGATACCTTCATTCCCCTCCAGTTGGCACCTCGGTAGCCTTTTGTTGTGCTGTCATTGAGTAGCCCGGGGTATGTTCTTACTCTCAAATTGTTTTGGCAGACAGCTGGCATGCACACTTCACATTCATTAACTGACTGAAACTGGGGCCGTTCAAACCCTCTAGGCCCAAATACCTGCCAATGGCTCCCAGAGGCACGTCACAGTATGGAGTGTATCCTCTTGAGCAGCGGAGTTCTGAATTACATGCTCCTTTCAGTCTGTGAAAGCATGGGGTTCAGTGATTGTGTGTGACTCTCCCTTTCCATTGCTACTTCTGTCTCTTAACATGCTGCTTTCTTGAGCCAAACCTCCCCCCTTGGCACGTATTTGCTCTTTTCATTGGGGTGTCAGATGCCTCTGCCCCTGTAGGATGAGTGCTTAGTTTATCGCCTTTCTTTATGTTTACTTAAAACTGGAAACTTGTTTCATTGGCTTCCCTTTTTTGGATACTGAAAGACAAAAGGCTTTTAACTCTGACATTGTATTTATATTGCTGCACTACTGACTTGTGTTGAACCAGATGAAGATTAAAGACACTATTTAATTTGAGGGAGTGTTCCCCCATTGAATGTAGTCGTGGCTGCTGCTAATTTTATTTTTCTGTGCAATCAGATGTCTTCCTTAGGCACAAGTGTTGGATTCGCTGTTTATTTCTACTTAGCTAATAGATAAGCATTTTGCCCAATTGACTTAGGCCAACCATAGTTCTTGACCTCACTTGATTGTGCACCGTAGCACAGACTGTGCTTCTGCCATACAGCCTGACTGTGTGCCTATTCATCTCTCCATAGTCGTGGTGGTCTCAGCCTGGCCTGGCCTCTCCCTAGATGATGGCACCCCCAGTGTGCTGTCATGATCCCACATCCGCTCCCGCCTTTCCCCCACCACACAGGGCGGTAGGTAACACCACAGTTCTCCATTTCAGATGATGTAAGGGGATTCAGTCAAGTTACAGATCATCCTTCTGTCAGAAATGTGCTGCTGTTCTGAGTAGCGCTGAAAACGTTGGGCAGGGTGTCATCCATGAAACTCTTGAGGTAGGTATCCCTTGAACCCTCTCCTCCCTTAGGCACTTGAAGCCTGGTACTTCCCTTTTGTCCTGGAGAGGTCCTCCCTGCAGGGAATTCTCAGCCTATTTGCAGCAGTAACACTTTGAGATTCTTTTGCTGCAGACATCAGTACTGCGTCTTTACACTGGCGCTCTGGCTTCCTGTGACGGAAGGAGAAAGCATTAAACTCAGTCCAGCTATTACTCAACAGCACCTTTCTTTAGCTGAGGGTTTTTTTCCTTCCTCCCATTTCGCTGTGGGAACTGCCCACTTACACTGAAGTGCTTTAGTTGTCTGACAGCACCGCTGCAGATGGAATAGTTATTGCCTGCCTGATAAAGAGAAGACTTGCATTTTGCAGAAGGCGATGGGCCTTCTTCGGACTCCTTGCCAACCAGTTTTGGTAGGAGTGCTTCCTGTCCTTAGTCATTTGTCATCTCAAAATGCAGGCTTATGACTGTCAATCACTAATCTCAAAAGTTAAATTTCCTTATTGGCATTAGTATTCTTCTATTGCGCAACAGTCTCCCTCTGCATGAAACGCCCCTTCGGCCACCCCCCAAAAAACCCTGCTCTGCACTTCAAATATTAACCCTCCGTGCCTCTAAATTGTTTCACCCTACCAGAAGAAGTATGTATATACACATGCCCTCATTATGTACTGATAAGTGTGAGAAGCTTTTCATAAATTTGGAATCTAGGAAAATCTAATGTTGATCAAGGGACAGGGAGTCAGTGAAAAATCCTGCAAGCAGCAGGTAGAAGCATTACGCATATTGGTGAAAAAATCTCTATTCAGGTGGAAGAGGGAGGGAAAAGATCGTTTACTTGGAAAAAGACGACAGCCCATGTTAGAGAAGACCCTCCTCGGATGCAGCAATGTGTACAACAAAAACATTAGTTTAAAATCTTGTAACTCCCTTTCCTCCTACCCCTGGGTATTAATATCATTGCTCATTTGTTACCTAAGTAACCTGATCAGAGTTTGACCTTGCAATAAGAACTCTTCTGCATGGCTGTGCATTATAATTCCACAATTAGAGATTCTATGGCTACAAGTTACCCATGTGTGGAAGTTAAGAGCTGAGACATCTGTTAGATGAACCATCAGCCGAATTTTATTTTGTTTTCCTCATTCTTCAGTGTAAATGTACTTCAGACACACATTTGTGTTGAGTCCAGATGTTGGATCAAAGGGCGCAATTTCTTGCAATGTCAAGATCCCAGTTTAAATAGTTTGTTCTTAATTTTTCTGTACCTGGGGCCAGCCCAACCTGTCTGAACTTTAATGATGTTTGTTTGATTGCAGTGTTACTTGGATCAAGATTAACGAATGATTGGGGGGAAAAAAAACCCACACATTTCTTGCAAATAAAAGGGGAAGTTATTTTGCTGCTGCTTCTTTACTTCTGGCTCAGTTTCTCTTGAGAGAAACTTTGAGTGGGTGTCTAAAGCAAGCGACTGCCACTTGAAAAATATGTTGCCTACAATCAGTCAAATACCCTTTTGTTCCCTTTTCCCTATGCTCCATGTCTGCCAATCACTTTGTTACCATTCATTAATAACCATAGTGCATTACTCCCTTGCCCAGCTGACTGCTGTGTTTGCAACTTGCCAGAAGCGAGAGGGCGATATTCTAAATGTGTAAATTGCTGAAGAGTACTTCACCTAGAACTCAGAGGCTGCTCAAGTCTGGCTAGAGCATCCCAAGTTGGATTTTGTAGATCTTGCCTAGACATGTTTCTCTGTATTAGCCAGGGATGCCCCGGCGTCTGCAATATAAAACTTCCTGGGTTCTATTTGACCCACCAGTGAGGCATTGGGTCAGTAGCTGTTGTCTGTTCTTGAGCTTGTCAGATCTGCGGGCAATGATCTCTTCTGCTCCCAACTTCTGGGTTACTTTCTGTCTGTCAGGGTGGTTACCTTGCAAGACAACTCTATTAACTGTGCTTGGCTTGACTGCTCACTTTTCAGGTTAGTACTGAAGAGGAAATGCAAGCGACTGGCCTAGGGAAGGAAAAATCAAATGCACGGCTACAAAATCGGGAATAACTCTCTTAAGTGGTACAGATTGAACCTCTATAAACCAGAACTCTCTGGTCCAGAAGGACCACGGATGTTCCAGGATCAGAGAGTCACAGTGGGGGGCCGGGAACCTGTCATGCTGAGAGGGGGAAATGATGCATATCCCAGCTGGGCTGCAGGGTGGAAGGAGGGGGCGAGAAACAAGCCAGTGGGCGGCTCACCTGGGCTACAGGTGGAGCTAGTTGGAGAGAAGGGGTGGGGCGGGACAGCAGCAATCCAACAAAATCCCTCATCCAGGATCAGTCAGGTCCCAAGGGTGCTGGACCAGGGAGGTCCAACCTATAGTACTGCTGCCGGGGAGCTGGAGGTCACAATGGACCACAAACCACGTATGAGCTGGTGTGTATTAACAAGAGTGTTGTATGTAAGAAATAAAGAGGCCGGGGTTCCACTCGCCCCTCATATCAGTGAGGGCCTGGCTGGAATACTGTGTCCATTTCTGGGTGCCACACTTTAGGAAGGATGATTTGGAAAGAGTCCAGAGGGGAAACCTGACCTACGAGGCGAGTGTTTAGAAAAAGTTTGGTCTTGAGAAAGGAAGAGGGAGGGTGACTTGATAAGGCATGTTGCAAAGAGGACAATGATTAAGCATTCTCCCTGTCCCCAGGAGGTAGGACAAGAAGCAATGGGCTTCAGCAGCAGCAAAGGAGACATTAGAACAAACTTTCTAACTCTAGGGGTAGTTAGGCTCTGGAACAGGTTGTGGAGTCCCCATCACAGGAGGCTTTTAAGAAAAGGTTGGCCAGACACCACAGATGGTCTGAGCTGGGTTTCCTGAGCTAGGTCCTGCCACCGTGCAAGAGGTTGGACTTGCTGACCTTCCTCGGTCCCTTCCAGTCCCACATTCCTGAGTCTGTGACTGCTCAGCCCCTGGCTGTGTGCTTTGTCTATTGGCGGACACCTCAAATGTAGCCTCTGTGCTGGGGAGAAACACAGTGGCAGGTGTGGCGAGTGGCACCCTGGCTCTAGCACCGTCTTGGACATCCAGCCCTGACAACTAAGATTTGAGAGGCTGGGTGTAGGAGGGGGAGTTTCAAGTGCATCGGCTGAGGGATGCTCTGAGGAAGCTGGAGGAGATGCAAATGTGGACTATTGATTTCACTGGAAAGCAAAATTGCTGAAGCTTCAGGGATCAAGCTCCCGCAAAGTGGGGAGTTTCAAGTGCATCGGCTCTGAGGAAGCTGGAGGAGATGCAAATGTGGACTATTGATTTCACTGGAAAGCAAAATTGCTGAAGCTTCAGGGATCAAGCTCCCGCAAAGTGCAGCAACACACGGGCTGTCTGTAGCTCCTAATGAAGCTGAGGAACGTTTATTAATTAGTGCAGTCCTTGAAGGAGATTAACCAGGGCTGCCCTGCTGTCAGTTAAGAGTTGCTGTAGAGGTTGCACATTAGCACTGCAGCAGCCAAAAGGAGCCTGCGTAACATGAGGGGGCTGGTGTGTTTCAACAAGTGGAGGGAATTCACCTTCAGGGGGCACCTCGTTCCTCCTTGCTATCCTGCACCACCCAGGTTACTAGACCATTTATAAGCCATGCACTGGGTTTGATACCTCTGCGGCTGATAGTGTCATTCCAGGAGATGACCCCTCCCTGCACTGTGCTGCCTGGGTACAACTCCCGTTGTTGCGGATAGCTCCTTTGCTGGCTTAGGCTCAATTTACAATTGGTTAAAAAAATTAACCATACATTTCTCCGTCTAGTGGCTTCAAATGTCATAGCGCCATCACCCTCCAGCCCCCTCGGCTCTCACCATCTCCTAGCCCTGTGTTTCTCAACCTTTTTTTTAATCAGGTACCCCTTTAAAAAAAATGATAAATACTCCCAGTACCTACAGTTTTCAGACACACAATTTTTTTCTGCTATTGCAACACATTTGTTTAAACAACTTAATTGTAGCCGGGCGGGCGATGAAATTTTGGGGTGTAAAAAGTACAAAAATAATAAAACGCTGTAAAACTTAAAACAAAAATTCAGCTTTCTCCAAATTTCAGTGGTGTTGACGTACCCCCCAGACTTCTCTTGAGTGTCCCTAAGGCTACTCGTACCATGGGTGGAGAAACCCTGTTCTTGGCCCTGCTGCTGTGGGGCAGGATCTGGCTATGTGATAGCCAGGCCAGGGTCTCGTCAGGTTGAACCTCTCTAGTCTGGCATTCTCGGGACCTTACCAGTGCCGAACCAGAGAATTTGCCAGGTCCCGGGTGGTCAATGTTGTCTAGAAGCATGACCAACACTTCCACTGCTTGCTGGGCTCTTAGAAGACATTTAGGGGTAAATTGGAGCTAAATAACAGCACACTACACCAGAGTTGTTGACTCAAGTCCCACGACTTGAACTTGAGTCCGACTTAAGGCACCTAGGTGACTTGACTTGAGCCTCGACTCGGGTTCATTGTTTGTGATTTGAGACTGGACTTGAGACTTGCTAATTTTGTTAAATCGACTTGGTGAAAAAATTGTCCAAAAATGCCGATATCGATGGCTTGTACAAAAGTGACTTGACATTTTTAAATTAAGACTTGAGACTCGACTTGGGACTTGACTCGAAAGTGACTTTAGGGACTCAAGACTCGACTTGAGACTTGAACTGTAGTGACTTGAGACTCAACTTGGACTTGACAATGACGACTTGAAGACAACCCAGCACAACACTGAGAGCCAGGGCTGGTGCCTGTAAACAAACTTTAAGGGACCACAGGAAACTTGGCCACTCCTATGAAAAGTGAATAGCAGGCTAACTACAACCATGCCAGACCATGGATGTTGCCAGACCAGAGTGCCAGACTAGAGAGGTTACAACATGGCAATGTCCCCATTGCTAAGATACAGCTTCCTAAAATGGCCACATCTCAACTCTTCTGGGCCAGGGTCTAGCCAAGATCCCCCTCCAACTTAGCAAGGCTCTGAGTCCTGGTTTTAATGTTAAGTGGGGAAGAAAACACCACCTTGCTGTCGGGCTACAGCTTTGTAGCCACCCCTGCCCCCTAGTGGAGATTCCTCAGCTTTGCACCCAGTGAGATCACAGTTGTAGTCTAGTGGCCAGCTGGAAGAACCCCAGTCCTGTCCTGTGTGTACCAGGCCATGCTGCCTCTCCCTGATCTAAGTGCCCAATGAGACAGCAGGTGGCTCCTGCTGATGAAGAGCTAGGTATTAACACTATTAGCTTGCCAGTGCTTTCTGACACTCCGTTCTGTGTTTGTACAGCGCCTGGCGCAGCGGGCCCAAAATCTCTGTCTGGGATCCCTACATGCAGCCCAGACACAAGGGACTAATGACTAGCCCGGAGCCTCCGGTGCTTTCTCTGCTGAATTGTTCACTGCACCAGTGGGGCCCTAATGAGAGCACTGCGCCCCATGCAAACCCATGGCATGGGGAGGTAACTTGTAAATTGCAGGTTATTTTTGGCCCCAGAGCAGATTGTTCACTGCACTAATGAGAGCACTGCGCCCCATGCAAACCCATGGCATGGGGAGGTAACTTGTAAATTGCAGGTTATTTTTGGCCCCAGAGCACCACCTCTGCACAAGGGGATGGCACGGGCCCCAACATCCCTCCCCTCCTAGACGTGACCTTCAACTCAGCACCTGCTCTGCCCTCCTTCAAGAGGCAGCCACAGCTCACGTGCCCCAGGGATGCTGCTAAGTAAATTCTCCAGAGATCCTGCCATGGTCCTACACCAACTTGCCTGATGTGCCAAGCCGGGAGAGTGGGGGAAAGCTTCCAAGAGAAGCCACAGCCACAGAAGGTGCAAAATGACAATAGCCCTCTGAGGTTTGTGCCATGGTGCAGTCACCAAAAACAACAAAATCCCTCCTTAGCCCAGCCAGCCGCCCTGGGAGGCGGGGGCAGGATCATTCTCTGTAGCATGTTTGTGGGGAGTCCCTCACTCTGCCTGTAGCGATGTGCATGGCGCTGAGAGCCCCGTGGCTAGGGTACGGTTTGCTAGCAGCTCCTTCCAGGTTTGCAGGGAGTCCAGGCCTGGGGAAAGCCGGGGGCCTAGCAGTGAAGCGGGGCTCAAAGACCTTTCTCCCCTGGAGGGAAAATTAAAGCAAAACATTAAAAATCTTTGTACTAGAGGAGCTGCAGTGGGCACGTTGTTAGCAGAGGTCTATGTGCCGTCTGCCCCTGCCCAGGTTGGAGGCACCTGGGATGACCTGGGACACTGGGTGATTTAGCTGCACTTGCTAATGGGCTTTGCAGTGACACCATTAAGGTTAACGACCTGCTCATTAACACCAGAAGATGGCTTTGAAGAAGAAATTATTCCAATAATTGCTGTAGCCAACCCCTGTGGCCCTGTTGTAC